ATCTCATCGGATGAACCACGATGTCGGGGATTCAATCAATCCCGTATACAATTCCCTTTGTCAATCAGTATGTTACTTGCCCGAGATTCGATCGTCGGTAATCCCAATACCTCGTTCAATCTCGTTACCGGCAAGTCACTTTACTCGTTCCGTAACGCATGATCCCGTGGCTAACTCCTTAGTCACATCGAGCTCATTATGATGATGCATTACCGAGTGGGCCCAGAGATACCTCTCCATCATACGGAGTGACAAATCCCAATCTCGATTCGTGCCAACCCAACAGACACTTTCGGAGATACCTGTAGTGCACCTTTATAGCCACCCAGTTACGTTGTGACGTTTGGTACACCCAAAGCATTCCTACGGTATCCGGGAGTTGCACAATCTCATGGTCTAAGGAAATGATACTTGACATTAGAAAAGCTCTTAGCAAACGAACTACACGATCTTGTGCTATGCTCAGGATTGGGTCTTGTCCATCACATCATTCTCCTAATGATGTGATCCCGTTATCAATGACATCTAACGTCCATGGTCAGGAAACCATAACCATCTATTGATCAACGAGCTAGTTAACTAGAGGCTTACTAGGGAGATGTTGTGGTCTACGTATTCACACATGTATTACGGTTTCCAGTTAATACAATTATAGCATGAACAATAGACAATTATCATGAACAAGGAAATACAATAATAACCATTTTATTATTGCCTCTAGGGCATATTTCCAACAAGAAGAGGGGTATACCTGGGTTCAGCGGGCAACCCTTGCCTGTGTGCGGCTGGAAGAGGGCTCGATCCCTTTGGCCATGTGAGCGAGAGAGTTTTTTATGCGTGGTTAGGAGAAAAACACAAAGGGGTATCTCACTTGGGAATGGCATTGGTTGGTAAATAACATTGAACTTCTCGGGGACAATTGAAAAGGGTCAGTTTAGAAGCTAGAGAAGTTGAGGTTGGGCAGCTGTTAGTTTTGCACTACCTAAAAGCTATAGATTCTCATAAACTGGTGTGAAAATTTACCCCTTTAGTTAGCTTTTACCTTCTTTGAAGTAGAAATTGGGTAAGAAAAACAATCAAACACAGTCTGGAACGGGGAATACTTTGCTACAGTTATTGTGTTGTGTATAGGACAATCTATAATGATAGATCAGGCCCACAACTCTCTCTGATCTAATCTTCAAGAGTTCCCAACAAAGTGAAAATCTTTGGCTGGTTACTTGCTAATAATCAAGTAAACAGACGTGCAAATCTCCACATAAAGACTATACTAGATTTGTACACCTGTCCAATGTGCAGTTCTCACCTTGAGAGCAAGTACAATAAGCTTATATAAGCAGACTATAAGGGTTAAAATATTATTTTTCTCCTGACAAGGAGGAGAGAGAAGTTAATAGAGAAGAGGAGCAAGCTACAGAATAAGAGCTAGCTGCATTATGTGAGAGTAAAAGATGGTCATGTATTAATAAAATAACACATCTTTATAGCTAACTATTATACATGTTGGCTTTACTATAAAACTTGCTCTGAAACAAGCTGCCACCTCTTCCTCCAATGCCCTGCAACGAAAAACGTTTGGTGTGCCTCTGATTTCAGACTAGACTAGAGGGCTATTGCCGAAGTTTGGGATACGCCTACGCCAGGTGGCTTGCCAACCTCGCTCACATCATTCATGCTCTTGCTAATGTATGAAAGATCTGAAATGTTAGAAACTCCGTATTTTGAGGCAGCAATGGCTGCTGCCATATTAGGCAATGCTCAATATTCTATGGCATGACTTCTTCTATCAATAAAACAATGATTGTTCCTTCTTATGCTCTTTGTGGCTCGGTGTCCTTTTTTTAATAAATGACATTTTTTTATTAACTCACATTATAGCATCAAAAGAACACAAATCATAATGAGGTGGCATACACTCCACCTTTGCATGACTAGGAGCGTCCCCACGTCCAGTTGTTGACATGTGTTGCTTCATTCCTTTGTTGCCTGCTTATGGCGCGAATACTGCAAATGCCTATAATAATCTGGCTTGCACCGTGCGCAGTGTCTGGCACGCAGAGAATTCTTTTGGTTATGACAACAAAATAAAAATCAACTAATCCTAGGCCAACTGAACACCTGAATAAATTATTCAGGCAAGCAAATCTTTATTCGTTATACTCTTCAAGCAAGCAAATCTTTATTCGTCATATACATACTACTCCCTCCATCCGGGAAAAGTTGTCTCCATGGTCTTTTTCTGAAAACACCCCCAGCGAATTCCCGACAAACCCGCAGCTCCCCGTCGTCTCCCCCGCCCCTCTGTCGTGCTCCCTCGCGCCTCGGCAGCTCGGCTCCTCCGCAGCCCCCCGCAGGTCCCCGCGTCGCCGGAGCTCTCCTGCCCCAAGCCTCCCCCACCCCACGCCTCCCCCACCCCACGCCTCCCCCGCAGCTTCCCTCTCCTTGTT